GCACACAGTCAGCACAGCAGAAAAATAATTGTGAATGACAGAATAATTTTCATGATGTTAATGATTTGAGATGACAGCTACAGCAGCTAGTGCAAGTACCGAAATTAATTGGAAAGCACGTGTTGTAATGTGAGCCTGTAACTGACGTCATCACTGTCGTCATGACATCATCAGGAAGACATAACCTGATTGCAAAATTTGACTTATTTTGCTTTAACACAATTTTATTAAAAAGATTTTCTTGCAAAAATATTTTTAAAAAATTGGAAGAAATAGAAGACATAAGTGAATTGCATCTTTTGAACAAGTATTGTCTAGTGTTAGACCAAAAAAAAAAAACAATTTACTGCAAAATAAAGTGCGGTAAAAGGTAAATTGCACACCGTAAAAAAGATGCAATATAAATAAATAAAAAGCACGCACTAAATTGTTGTCCAGTTTTTCTAGTCCCCTTAATTCCATTCCCGATATTCCGGGGATCATTTCGGTGGTGACCGCCGGTATCATTTCGGTGGTGGGGATCGTTTCGGTGGTGATTGGGGGTCATTTCGGTGGCGGGGATCATTTCGATGGTGGGGATCATTTCGGTGGCGGTACAACGTCTTCCCTGGCATTTTTCAATACATGGCCGTCATGGTAGTGGTGACAGTGCGGTGAATGGACGTACGTGTCTACCCTTTTGGGTTTCCGCATAAATCTTACAATCACACAAACAAAGCAAATGAGATCTACTAAACGCGTAAAAACAAGTTGGACTATGTTGCCACGTATTGCTAAGAGGTATAATGTTCATCAGAGTGGATTTTTCTTCATTTGAAGCAAGATGTTAACCAAGCAAGAAGTCCTTGTGCAGTTGTTGTTGGCTTTCTTCTTCATAGCTGCACTTACTTACCAAGACGTTGAAGGTATAAAACAGAATATTTATCTTTGTATTTCGTTTTCGCAACTTATTTTTATTATTTTTACTTTTTTGTATTTCCCAGCGCTGAGTATCAAAACTGGAATATGCAATTTCACTATTACTACTCCTGGTCTGTTTGCGTGTGAAAAGGTTTCCTTTGAGAAGCCTTTCAATGGCAGGCAGGATGTGAAAGTTTTCGTTTCCAAAAGCCACACAACAAAGAGTTATAGTGGAGGAGATGGCGCGGCTATTTGGGTGGAATCTGTGGATAATAGAGAATTTACAGTTTGTGTTTTGAAGTACGGAGATGGTTCTAGTGGGACTACGAAAGTGAACTGGATGGCGTTGCAATCTGTTCCTGTTGGCGCTCAACTAGACACCGTCTCGTTGGATTCTTGGACTAGTGGAGAAAAGTGTAAAAGGATCGCCTTCGAAAAGGTTACCTCTGTTTCCCCTTTGCGTTTTCGTTAGTTAATAGTTCTTACTAGTTTAGGTATTTCTGTTTGCTCAAACCTAGACACAAGATTTCACTACGTTATTTTTTGAGCTTTGCTTGACTAAGTGGCTTTAACTTCCTCTTTCTTTATTTAGCTCGTAAGAGCTGCAGACTTTCCATTTGACTTCTTCCTTATATCTTTAAGTCATGCGATATAACATTGTTGCATTATATAATACGATTCTTTATTTGTTTACCAAGATCTGACATATATTGCTACCTCTATTTTTTCCATCAAAGTTATCTTGCAATCTGTTCTCCACTTTTCTTTTATTTCAATTTTTTATTTACATTTATACATCTTTAAAAAGGTTTAACAATCTTCATATTTTTTGCTAATTTTTGCTTTAAAAAATTTAGTGAGAAAGTCTCTATTTCGATTCCTTTTGTTTCTACGTTGCCAAATTCATGATTATCGTTTTATTTGCAAATTCTCTGTGTTTAATTCGTAAAACTCTTCTTAGGTTTTTATCTGCACTAGAAAATTCCATCCAGTTTGCTTCTTTCCAGTTCAGAATGACTTTTTCTATCACATTTCCATCGTTTTATATCATATCCTTGTTTGTTTAAAAAAGAAATGTTATTGATTATATATTTCCTTGTCTTTTACTTTTTCAGCGTTTCTCAATTCCTCCGAGCATCTATGTAACAGCTCGTCACCAAATTCTCAAGAGACCTCAGGACGCCTTAGCATTGTGGGTAGAGGATGTACGCAGGGACAGTTTTAAGGTTTGCCTCAGGGAAACGAAGATTTTTGATGGTCTGCATAAAAACATCAAGGTGGTAAGTGAATTCCTTTTGTTACCTGTTACATGTTTGAAAGTAGACTCACACGACAACCAAGCGGTTCCTCCCCTGCTGCAACTTACATGGGCTGTGCTCTAGCAGAACCCAGTCGTCCCTGGCGCTCTACCTTTGCTCTTTGCCTACTAGGAAATCGTAGCTTTTTTCATAGAGATCCTATGTTGGGTACCCTGTGATTTACACAGTTCAGATGGGCTCCCTTCTCTTAGAAACAACCTTGACTTGAGAAAGAATATATTGATAACATTGTTAATACTTTTTCACTTGTCCTTCAGGACTGGATAGCATTTGTTAAGCTGATGACGCTGAATTCTACCTTGATCCATGGTCTTGTAACAACAAAGAATAACTCACCACTAAACAAGCAAAAAAACAACGCTATCTGTCAGGTAAAGTAACTAATCAACTACACTGTTCTGGTTTCTCAGTCACTTATATTCATAAATAGATAATCTTTCATAAGTTCATGGAGCTCTAATGTTGTTGTCGTCAACTATTTGAACAACATTTATGTCTCCTCCCCGGTTTACTAAAACACTAACGATAAACCCCCCTTTAACGCTGCCAACAGCCGAGCTTTGTTTGCTAGAGCACCTAACTTCAACAACAACAACAACAGAAGCTTTATTTGCATGACTATAATTATGTAGTTACAGTATTGCAAAAGCTTTAACCTAAAAAAACAAACAAACAAACAAACAAACAAATCATGACAATGATAATGCAATGCAATGATTACTATAGTCAATAAAGTGTCATCAGCCTGATTTGATAACAAATTATTACGTAAATCATTACATAATGAGGCAAATTTCAACAAATGTGAATTTACGGAAAAATTCTGTGAATTCATCAATTTAATTATTAATTCTGCTTAAGATAGCTGATTAAAGTCGACAAAATTTTGTTGGATTTGATTGTAGAATTTCTCCCTTGGGATTGAGTATTTTGGACAATGGAAGAGAAAATGAAATTTGTCTTCAGTTATACCAGAGTTACAAATAGGACAGAATCTATCGTTGCGGGAAGTTTGATTATATCTTCCAGTTTCAATCATGAGTTTGTGGTTACTTATACGAATTTTCACTAAATCTTTCCTATTAGCAGAATTTCTAATTAAGTCTAGATAACTTGAAATTTTATAATCATGTTTAAATAAGCTGTAAAATTGTAGTTTCTTAGAATGATGGATTGTATGTTGCCAATATGCAATATATTTTTGTTTTATTATATCTATATAGTGTTTGATCTTAGCTTCACTTAAATTATTAGGATCAAAATCAGGGAGGTCATAATATTCAGATATTTTCATAAGATTATGGTAAAAGCTATTTTTACCATTACAGTGAAGTTCTAGCGAAGTACGAAAGGCTTGTTTAACAATAGTATCCTCGTTTTTACGCAGAAGATACAATATGTAATAAAGGATGTTTTTATAAATATTAATAATTAATGACAACCGTCCTAATTCACCTCTACTTGCAACATTTGAAGCTTTATTGCTTATTTCTAGGTAACGCTTGCAAAATTTCAAGTGGGTTTTTTCAATTGGGGTATTGTCCCAAGCTTTAAAATCATGTTTTACATATACACCCCAAATTTCGCTATTATATGATAATATTGGGGAAATCATCGTTTCAAATATTTTGCAAGCAAGAGAAGGTTTTAATTTGCTAAAGTTTGTGTGTTATTGTAAGATAATTCAAAGTTCACATTCGAGAGCCTCTAAGCCTTTGAAGCCGCAATCGACCCCCACCCCCCAAAAATCCATGCATTAAAAAAATTGGAAGGGGAGACATAAAATTTTTTATTTGGTTCCAAATAAACTCATATATCATATACCGCATATGTGTAGAAAATCTTAATAACGCTGATTCTTTTCTTGTTTTTTTAGATCATAAAGTTCACTGATGCTTTCTATGCCCCTCCGATAGTAATGGTTTCACCAAGACTCAGTTATCATAACAACAACTCGCGTTTCTCGGCTTCCGGAACTTGTAACGCAGTTACTGCGTGGATTCAGGTAACATATATGAAACTTGGAGCCATTTTTCCTAGTCCATTGCGTCCTTAGGCTGACTTCTTATCTATCCCTTTCAACTTACTTTTAGCATTGTCTCTGTTTCAATTTTTCATGTCTTTTAAGGAGTCTAAAAAAGTCTTTTTTTGTTTTGTTTTTTACCAATTTTTCCAACCAACCTGTGCACGCCACGGTTTCGCTTTCTAAACGTAGTGACATAGCAGTTAAAGTAAGAAAATACCTGATGATGCTTAATGATTGATAATCTGATACTTCTAATGATTGTGTCTAGCATACCTTTACAAACGAAACCGAGGTGTGTATGAGAAGATACAGCAATAACGCCAATTATAAGGACATCGTACAACTGGATTACCTGGTGATTGGAGGTACGTAAACAATATGTCAAAACCTTGGTAAAGGCTGTATGCTCAGTGTATCAAGTACATTTATGACATGAATCTTTTGAAGTTGTTTCATGGAGAGCTTTTTTTTCTCTAATTAATGCTATTTTTTGTTGTCTCTATTTTGGGGGATTGCAGATCTGGTTGACTGAAAGAACATGTTACTACTATAATTTCGTCGCAATAATTTTGTATATTCAAGAAAATGAAATTTTTTTAAAAACTTTTAAAGTCTAAATTTCTTTGGCACCCTGGTTTTCCTGATCATGAAATTAACAGGCTCATATGTGATGTCATAGGACAAAAATTCAGGAACTGAAAAACGGGATCATATGCATTCTTATCTTTTTCTTAGAGTCCTTATTGGCACCGTAAAGCAGTTTCAGCTTGTAAATTGGACGAAATTTTTGTAGAATCTATACTTGTTTTCTTGCGTCTAAAGTCACGTGTTCCTTAATTTACGTTATAGTTTCTTAATCTACGTCAGAGCTCCTTTGTTTCCGAGAGGCATCCGAGTGAAGACTTGCACGAATGGTGTGCCAAAATGGCGGTAAATTTGAACGTGTCAAAAAATACTCTTTAATAACATTGTGTTCCAGGCATTTTTTTTTCGCGCACGCTCTCATAGTAATGTGCATTTTCAATTCTAAAAAAAATGATTTTTAAGGTATGGGCACGTTAAATCTAATCTGTTGTAATTTGCTTAATTATCTTCAGACTTGGATCCCTGCATAGACGTTAAGTGTTATTATCACAGCTTCTGTAAGGCGTTTGGACCCCATGATGCACACTGTGTATGTGTGAATAGCTGCCCATCTTACAAAGAACCCGTTTGCTCATCAAATGGCACAACATACGACAACAGATGTTTGTTTGAAAGAGAAGTTTGTCTACATCGACTAAACTTAACCGTGCAACATCCTGGTAGCTGTGAAGGTTAGTACAGTTGTTTTTAAATGTGTAAAAAGTGATTTTTGTTTTTATTAGATTTCAGTATTAATCCCTTAGCGAATTTTTCGAATGAGCTATTTACTTACCCATGTAATCTGGAGGGAAAACGGCGATAGATGCGTGACTTTCCGGAAGTACAGAATTTTACGTAATTATGCTAAAACGTTTGACAGGAGCAATGCTAATAAGAATACTGGTCAGAAAAAGTGGCGGGTTAAGCATTTTCAGTTAATACTCAACGCTAATATTTGTTTTTTATATATATGTATCACTGAAGCAAATTTAAAACTGATTCTTCTTTCTGAGATTAGTAGTAGTAGCAGCAGCAGCAGCAGCAGCAGCAGTAGTAGTAGTAGTAATAGTCGTAGAAGTAGTCGTCGTTTGCATTTCGTACTCGGACGTAGCTCTGCCTAACATATCTGGATAACCTTTCCTGGAGTTATATTTTTTTTAAGCATAACTGGAACTGAACCTTTTCTCTACGAGAAGTAGTAGTTACAGTGAATGTTCACTTTCCCTTCCTTTAGCTCTAATAAGCCTGACCAGTTGCCACCGAGTAGCTCTGCTCAAGATGCAAGTTCTAATCTCTCCATGACTGCTTGCGATGCTATTGACCTAATGCAGTGACAAGCGACACATTGTCCGCAGTGAACTTTCCCCAGGACTTCTAGATCTATAGTAGAGGGTAAGAACCCTCTTTATAAGAACCACTCATTTGCTGCGCGTGCGTTGTTAACATTTTTATGTTCTGGGTAAAAATGAAATGCTCTTTGCTCCGCATGCTTGTCATACTAATCTATAGTTCATCTTGAAATGTGTTTTCTAGGATTTCCTTTTCAGCGTGGTCGTCGCCACATGCCACATATTCCATCCTTAGGCTACTCTCACTGTCATGCCATTCATTTCAAACCGTTTGTGTTTTACCCCGACAAACTCATTCAAGTGCAGATAACTGTGAATCATATGGATACCAGTGACAAATCGTATGTCCATGACGCGGCAGTATCGTGGGTTGAAAATGTGAATAACGACGGATTCACTGCCTGTGTGATGGCTGCAGGATATAACGAACGAAAGTCGTATGCTAACGTGACAGTTGATTGGATGGCGTACCAAGGTGCTCCAGTGGGTGGCGTGACTGGTGAAGTGCGCATGTCACAGTGGTGGACTGGTACGACTTGTGCGACTGTCATGTTTCCTACAGTGAGTGGCCTTTGTTGGGTTTTCTTGTCCTTTCCATTCTTTTCAAGATCATATATAACTTTTGAAACGCCTCACTTCTACTGAGGTCACTCAGTTAATATTTAATATGCATTAGTAATGATTTGTCGTTTTAGTGCAGCCGTACACTTATTACCAATAGTCGAACAATGTCATGGTAGTACAAATTATTCTTTTACCAATTTCCAGCTTATCACAAATGTCATGGGTTCCTTTTTGCAAAAATAAGAAATTGATTGCTGTTCGTGGCTTTCTAAAAGTTAAGAGTTGCCTAACTCGGATTTATTTTTCAGGGAAACCTCTCTGTGATACCGTCGGTATTTGTGACTGCCAAGCATTACAATCCAGGATTAAAACGTGACGCAGCAAGCGTATGGATTGAAGATGTCACACAATCATCCTGCAAAGTTTGCTTGAGAGAATTGCAAAACTACGCTGGATCACACCAAGACGTTGTTGTTGTAAGTCACGCTCGGCTTATCTCATGGAATCGAACGAACAGCGTTTTTCGTTTAAAACTAAGTGCAGTGGACTGGTATCTTTCTCCATCTCTTCTTTTCGCTTTTTTACGCTTCCAGCAGTTGGTCCAGGGATGCACGATTTCTTGCTTGAAATTAGTTCCTTCCATTTGTTTCCTCTTCATCCGGCTTTGTCAACCCAATCATGTTATTGCTTTCTTGTAACCTAAGATGTCGGTGGCTGCTTTATATAAACCTTCTTGATAGATTATCATTTTATTTTTGACGTTGACACAATCTTTTGGTAGTTAGGACGTGAGACTGAAAAAGAATTCTTTCATTTTATTGTTATTTCTTTATTTCTTTATTTACTTTATTTCAGAATTGGTTATTGTTTTCATATCTTGACGAGCCTCCCTTCTCAGAACACAAGTCCATTTACTTTTCGAATGATAAATCTCCCGCGCAGAGTCATTATAATGCCTTCTGCAAGGTCAGTATTCCAGTCCTTTCATTAGCCTTTCGGGTTTCAATTCCCGTCACAGTGCAGTTAATTTTATTGAATAAATTTACAATCAGATAGCAAAAGGAAACAGTCCCCCTATCATGTCTCTAGTGATGGTAGTTGCATTTAATCAGTTTAGCAGGCTGCCTGTCATCTTTCAGTGAATATTTAAAATGAAAATGAAATATAGATTATAAATGTCCTAATGTGGAACAAGTCTTTACCTTTTTACAAATGTCAGAGACTGAATTTTTACAATTATGTAGTTTCTTTTCACAGGACGCTACTTTTACTAAAGTTTATAACTCAACTCCACACGTCTTTGTTTCTGCCAATCATTCCACCAAAAATGGAAGTCAGAGTCCAATTCACAACAGCATAGCTGAGTGGGTAGAGGTATGTTTTTATTTATTTATTTGTTTACTTTTTCATTTATTTTATGAATTTCTGTAACATACCGCTTGCAACCACACTTACTTGTGTTGTGTGCATGTTTAAAAAGCTTATGAAAATACGAATGACTGTAATTAACACTCTCTATTTTACAATACAGATAGCGTCCTATTGAGTCAGTATAACCGCAGCTTATAAAAAACCAAACGTGCGAAAAACAGCACAAAAGTTAAATTTTCTCCGTTTAACTAACGATCAGGAATAACCCTAGTAAAATAGCCATGAATTATGGAAAGTTGTTAAAATTGTGTTTTAAAAAAAGCTGTGTAGCCGTATAGCAGAAGGTAAGCCGCTGTTTTGTTTTTCCGGTAAACAAATGTTGTCAACAAAAAGCAATGAGAAAACTAAAATTGACTTTAAGCAAGAGAGAATGAGCTAAGAGAGCGAATCCCTGTGTCCCATGATGATTATTTGAAATCCGTTGAAAGTTCGCACGCGCGCGATGAAGGTTATCTTTATCTGCTGTTTACGTGACCCACGCGGTCTACTTTCCGGTGAACGCGGCATATTTCGCCTCCAAACATTTGAAGTTTGACAGCAGTTATAGCAATTATCGCATGAAAGGTTTAAGTTGTTGACATGTAATAACGCACACCCAACTGTCCTCTTTCCTTTGGAAGCCCTGTCATGCAAACTTGTTGAACAGGGTTGATCACTTCTTAACATGCGTCAAACTGAGAAATATGGAAAGGCTTCTAGACAAGACCTACCTGAACTGTTCTATAGTATTTTTCTACTAGCAAGGGAGAAAAAACTCCGTCAGCCTTCTGTGTGAACTACTGAATGAGCTGATAAACATCCCTTTCTTGCAGTACATCAACAAGACAGGTTTTCGTGCTTGTGTCAAAGAATTATATGAAGCAAAATATGACCCAGTGTCAGTAACGTACACAGTTTTGTCAGGTAAGAGCTCTACTGCTACAAAACTAATAAACTTCAGTACTTACCAGCTTTCTGAATAACAAAAAAGGAATACAAGCAATACACAAAAGGAATGCACAAAAACTGAAGGAAATCGAAAATTGCATTCGGGTGGTGATGAAAACAACGTTCATCCCTTTTTCCAAATACATATTAATGTGAGTGCTTTATAATGCTTGCAGATGGTTTTGTCTTATGTATCGCCTTCCGGTTGTGTCCCGAACAAAACGCTTCTGTTTTTCCATTTCCCTTTTTCATCGCAAAAAAAAAACGGAAATAACAAAACTGTTCGAAGTACATAACTGCACCTAAAGCTATACATTTTAAGCAATATCATTATGCAGTTTACTAATTCGTACTTTGTATACGCGCAGACATCTGTCCATCTGGATGGGATTACTTCAATGGATACTGCTATTTAACAAGCTCTGTATGCGCACCTTGGGTGACTGCTGTGTCCAACTGTTCAACCATGAACTCACATCTGGTAACAGTGCACAACCAAGAAGAAAATGTCTACATTCAGAACCGTCATAATGGAGAGCGATCATGGATTGGACTTAATGACCGAAGTGTTGAGGGATCATTTGTCTGGACAAACAAGGAAATAACCAGTTTTCGGTTCTGGGCTCCGCAACAACCAAACAACTGGAAAAACGAAGACTGTGTTCACACTCTGGGTGCCAATAATGGCTACACTTGGAACGATGTGTCCTGCGATAACTG